TTGCGCCTCCAATACTGCAAAACAACGTTGAAAATGAAAAAAAATATATATAAATCATAATTTTTATGCCAACATATTACCGTTCTTGCACCCAGCCACCGGCTGCTCCATTTACACTGTCAATAAAACTGTCAAAGGACAGCACTTTGGCAGTTTAAAGCGACAAAATTAATGTTTTTTCTATATTTTTTTAATGGCTACCACTGGATTTGCGCAATTATTGCGGTTGTTGTTGTTGTTGTTGATGACAGACCACACAAAACACCATAAAAATGTCAAACAATAATACTACAACGAGTATTACATAAATTTGGATGAGTAAATGGCGCGTCAGGCCTGAAGCCAGCCAATGCCGTCAGTCGTTTATTTGACTGTCAAACGTCAACTGCCAACTGTCAAAAATCAAATATTAAAAAAGTGTTTGCATACAAAAGCACAACCACGAAAGAAGATGTCTGGTGGAGCTCTGAATAGGCGGCCCAAATGCACAGTAGCCATAACAAAAAGAATGTAAAATACATAAATATTCATAATAATAGTAACTCGAAAATGCTGCGTAATTTTGAAGTTCAAAAAAAATGTGTATGCAAAATCCCCAAAAAAAAATTGTACGTATGCGCTTTCGGCACTTTATTGGCACTTATTAATGATTTCCCTTTACACGAAGGCGCAACACGCATGTTTGCATAATTTTTCACTTAACTCGCGCTTGTTCTTGCGCACGCTTGTTTATGACAAATATTTATTATTTTTTTTTGTTTTGGTTTTGTGACGCACTTTCGTACCTTTCTTCCGTGCTGATGCGCGCGCTTTGAAGACAATGTTTAGTGGTCGAACATGCGCGCAGCGCCTAGAGGCTGAAATTCACCACATTCTTGCCGCAAAACTTTTCGGCGCACACATTTTTTTTTCTTTTTAGTTCTCTTATTTTTAAAACTTTTGCTCCTTTTTATCGGTACCTTAAAATTTGCTTACCAACCACCGTTGCCAAATGCGCAAATTCGTGCGCTGAAATGTGTGACAAATGACTATAATTTCTCGCTGGCCAATACCGCTACTCTACCGTCTACTCAATAGCCGTGCATTTCTTTTCATTAAAGCTGCTTATCACATATTTATTTGCTTCTTCAGTGTGAGCCGAGCTGAATATTTATGAATGAAAGTAATATTCTCTCTGAACGATCGAAAATTAATAGTCTGTCATTTTGTTGAATAAGTATATCGTCAATCCGCTTGATACGCTCCGCATCGCGGCAACGGTATACGAGTACCGTGACCACCATCGTTGCGCCTGGCTAGCTTTATCCAGGATATGTGTTTTTGTTTTGCAGCGAAATTCTCTTTTTGTTTTTATTTCTTACCAGTGCATTAAAACGATTGAGTCATAAAAATTTATTACATATAACGAATTTATAATTTCGTTACCTAAGGTAAAGAAGGCTTTAATTTTTTCACCCTGCTACTTTATGGTGTGCGCGCGCGTGCAACTGTGGCAAATGCAACGCTGTAAGCGTCACTTTGGATGGCAGTAAAAATGTACTGTACCGTTTATAACGGTACGACTGACGCGAGCATAATTTGCGCTGATTTTATTTGCGAATGGTGAATAAAATTGGGGAACTGAACTGTGCTGTAAAGGGGGAAGTAATTTCGGCAAAAAAAGTTTAAAAACACGACACATTTCATTTTATTTTGTTAACAACGGTGAATATACTTGAGGATTCGGTAATCCGATCTCGCAAGCATCTCCTCCACAAGATCCAGAATTCGCTACTCAAGCACTCAAGGCTAGAGAATGAATATAAGGCCAATAGAACGGAGAAAATGAAACCTATTGCTCATTTCACTTTTTCAGCTAAGATTTGTGGCTGTTGTTGTCGTAGCGGTTACTAAACCCCGCTCGGGTCGGCTCATCCATCAACGTTATCGTCTGTTTCAGCTAAGGGGAGGCCCAGGAAGTGTGCGACCTCAACGGGATCTGTCCATATGGACAGCTGGGTTGGGTTCTGGGGGTAAGCGAAGAGGTGCCGTGAGTCATGTGGCGACTCTCCGCATGCCGGGCATTTGTTGGGCACATCCTCGTTTATTCTGCTCAGGTATGAGTTAAGCTTCCTGCAATAACCAGAGCGAATTTGGGCTATTGTGGTGCGGGTCTCCCGACAAGGGTTCTTCTGCAAGCACCTGCCTACTTGGCTGACCACGTCTGTGGCACCCTACTAGAAACTGCTTGTAGAGCATTGTGTTATGCTCCTTGATTGGTAGCATCTAGCCTTCGTCGTGCAGGTGGTATTGGGGCGACATCAGAAGTCCTCCGGTGGCGCCCGTGTTCTGGCAGGTCTTTAGCTTCATAGTTCCCGGCGACAACACGGGCGCTGCATAATTTAGACCGGCCAGCCAACGGAACGGAGATGACTCCACCCGTCACCGGTGTTGCAACTGACTGAGGTGGAGTTTGCATGCAATCGTCCCTGGCATTCGCAGCAGGTGTATATTTCTGGCCCTGGGTTTGACTCTATGCCAGCCCTAAGCAGAAGGATACGGAGCAAATTTAGCCCCATTATCGAAGAACGTTTGATGGATTTCGCAGATCTAAACGGGGTTAGATCGCCGAAACAATAAGAGTCACTGATTGCACTGTCGGTGATGGTTGAGTGGCATAGGGTAAATGGCCATACGGTCAATTGACATTGTGGCCATTTGAGAAAATAAGAATTGTCTTTATGACCACTTCTGAAAAGTGCATTAGACAGAATGTAAACATCGTTGGCATTGTGTCTATTTGATACTCGACATTGTAGCCACTTCATATGGTCAATTGAGTTTATGGCCCCTAATGGCCACAGACCTTATGTCACCCCACCGTCGGTGATACCTGCAGTACATAGCTAAGTTCTAAGATCCTTTATTTTGAATTTGTTGCCTCACTTGAACCAACATAAACCGCATTTTGCTCGCATACTTCAAGATTAACGTTCTGCTAAGCTTGGACCAACAATCCTGATATCCACGGTTTACCAATTTATCAGAAAATTCGATTTTCTGAACACCACAGAGTGCATTCGTTGCTTTTCGGGAAGGACTGTGACATTTTCGACAAGGTCCAATGGATTCTGGTAGCTTTTAGAGCAGCTTTCAATTACTGGCTCGGTTTTGATATCTACACAACCACCTTACAAACATTCATTTTGCCGCGCAGAGTGTTGCAAATTCATCCAATGAAAAATCCATCAGCATAGTTCACAAGTCATAAATGATCCTAACCAGCACCTTATGCAAGGGATTTTTTAGATACCACATCCTAAAATAGTTTCTGGAACTCCCCATAGACATAAGATTAGTAGAATATGAGCTTTCGTTCTTATCAAGAAGATATCGAGAATGTGTACTGCATTTCGCACCACACACTGTCTTTACTCCCCTCGCGCTCCTTCGCATATTTTCCTCTCATTCGTTTTTTCGTGTATGCAATGCCACTTTTAACCAGATACTCGCACCATTTCTTTAACTTTGGCTTTTATTATTCTTTATTAGTCTCCAAACAGTTCCCATTCTAAGATGTGGCTCGGTACTGCTTAAGGTCTAGTGACTTATTAGGATCTGTCGTTCATAAATTGAGCCGTATATTCCATCAGTGTTTTCCTCTAAAATTAATTCTTCTGTCTATTGTTTTAAAATGGTTCCCCATGGTTATTTGGTATTTAAGATTTTTTTTTTTGTGGTGGTAATAATGGAAAACAATGACCTTAAGAGATCAAATGAATACGCTGAGCTCGTAAAAACGAATATAACTATCTACATATACTTAAAAGCCTTCCGATTGCACTTGCCCCATCCATCTTTCACTCCATCATAGTCGCTGTCACACAAAGTTGCCAATCTCAGTCACTTAAAGCGCTCACATAGCCCAATCGCTACCAAAAACTATTTGTACGAGTATTTTTATGGTAAATTTGCGTATACATATTTCGAAAATTCCCAGAAAAAGTAATCACTTTCAATGATATAATGCCGCTAAGATCCCAACAAGTATGTATTTCCACTCACTGCCTTCACTATCAGCAAGCGCAGAGATTTTCAATGCAAATACATAGACACATTTGTATGTATATGAAGTTGAGTGTACACTTAGCTATGCCAGTTGTCACATGTCGCCGCCGCCAAAACGTAATTTATTTGCGTATTCAATTGTCAACGTTGACGTAAAGGCCATAAAGTGCAATGCTGACAGTCATCCAGGCGGGAGGAGTGAGTACGAGTACGAGCATGCAGGCAGCCGAAAGCAAATACAATGACGAAGCTACTACTTGGATTTGGCGATGAGATGGAAATGAAGATGGCGGTGAAGTTGCTGATGGCGATGAAATTGGTAAAGGAGCTGGTGGAGTTGGAGAAGGTGAAAAAGGGCAGCAGAGAATGCGCAAACATTTTGTGCATTTTAGTGAATTTGTTTATGAAAGTATGTACTTGAATAGTGGTAGCGGTATTCACGTGTTGATGTGCAATCAAATGCGTGGGATATGCAGGTTCAGGCAACTCTGTTTAAGTTTGCCCAAACGCTGAGCGTTTTTCGTCACTTTCTCAGAAATTTAGTGAGTTTAATGTACGAAAATATTAAACACTTATCATTGCTAGAGTAAGGACCGTTTTCTGAGGTAAGCTTTAACTTTAAAGCTCACTTTATATTTAAAGGTTGGATTAAAAACAAATCTATGTCTAAAGTTAAGCATTTCTATAATCGGTTGTTGACGTATGTATGCTGCTTGAGACACAATCATTAACTTTAATGCAACCTTTAAATATAAAGTGAGCTTTAAAGTTCCAGGTTAATTGAGAAAACGGCCCTTAATATACTTAACGGATGAGCCAGTAGTATTGAAAATCAAAAAACAGCGGCTGTCTAACTCTAAGATGAAGATGCTTATTTAGAGGACGTTCACACTTTTACAGAATTTTCTGTCTCTATATTTTTTAATTCACAGATATCTTTTTATTCTTTTCAGTAAATGGCAACAAAATGTTTGAAGTATTATGTGCACGCAAACCAAGTAAATTCTGGAAAAAAATTTTGAATTTTTTTGTTAATTAAACTTTCTCCCCACCAATGACGAACTATGAGAATTTGCTTAATTTGCCGCTTAATTGCAATGCAAATGAAAGTAGCGGCGGTCTGGCAACGCAGGAAATTATAAAAATGTCACAACGGGACTTTTCAGAGGTGAGTTTATATATATCTTAAACTATTTTACTGGTTTAAACTGAATTTATATACCAAATTAATTGCATTGCACTGCGTAAGCAAACACCACTTGTGAAGGATACTTTACGCAGCGCAAAAGGTATCTTCCCAACAGTAATAATGCAAATTTTGCCGCTCTTATTTCCGCCCCACTTGCTCTCACTGCTTAATCGAATTTCACTTTTATGTAGTAGGAGACTTTCAAATGAAATTATGTTCGACTTAGAATTTAATTGAGTAGAATCGTTATCTGGTTTTTTTTCAAGTATACATAACTGAGCCTTTTAACAATTTGTTCATTACTTTAATCAGACTGTAATTCTCAACCTGTTAATACGAAATATGGCATTAGTATAAATTGGTGTTGAACTTTTTCTACAATCAAATTTTTACGGCTTTATTGGTTTCTTATGCTTTGAGTGTAGAATAATACTACATAGATGGTCGGCTGCCAATTGAATTTTTTTCATTAAGAAAGTTCGGTTTACTAACGTAAAATTGTCCTGTTATAGAAGGCTCTTGCTTGAAGGTGAGAGGGAGCTATAGCTCCTTCTCGATTTGTTATCTAATGAGCATATTTAACGGTTACTTACCTTAATTACAACGATTGCTTAAAAATGTCTGCTTATTCTCAGGGTTCTCAAGAATTTCGTACCTCCAAAACGCTCCCTTCAAAATTAACTTTGAACATCTGGTCAAAAACCAATGTGCCACCCGATTCTCACCCGAAAAGTCAGTGGGCAACAGCAAAAACGAGAAAAGTAAATAAACAGCCGAAAATCACTTTGCCCAATTAATTTGTTCTTATTCAGACAGAAAATTCAGCTCACATTCTTAGCGCAATCGCAATGCACTGAATTTAAACTTCCCAGAACCGACGTGCAACGAATTCAATTAAAATAAACTGTATGCAAATGAAGCAATGCGGCAAAGCACGTTTCCTATACGTACCACGTACGCTGCCTAGCTGGCTGAGCCTGACTATGGCTGGCTGGGCGGCCTATTGCACGGTTGCATTTGGCTAAACAAAAGTATGTACTGGTAGCACTAATACGAGTACTAACAGGCAGCGTGGCACAGAGCATTTGCTCAGCGGCAGCGGCAGTGGCATATGAGTAAGCGACACAAATGACAGTCACCGAGCGAAACTGTCAGCCAAATGCGACGCGCTAACGGACAGCAGGCGGTGCATAGATAGTGTAAGAACCTTTTATTTCGTTAGTTCGGCTGACGGCCAGCGTCGTCGTTGTCACTCTCTTTGTTTGGCCTTTTGTGTAGATTTTGGCTTGTGGTTTTTAAATTTTATTTGTTGTGTTTTCGATTTGTTTGTTGTTTTTGATTTTTGGTTTTCCAATCACGACTCAGCCATTAAATGCATTTAACTGATTTTAAATTAAATACCTGAAATGGACAATCACGACGACGACGAGTGGAAATTCTCAAAAA